TGATTTGACAGCGTATTCGAGCGTTCTTTTATTGCCTTTGCTCTAGCTTTTTTCTTCGCCCTGCTATTGAAAGGCATATTTCAAAAGCCGTTTCCGCCAAAATGAGTGCAAATCAACTGAAGTTGCAGTTTTTTTTAAGCTTTTTTTTCTTTGCTGCTCCAACTTCTCACTAAATTATGAAGTAAAAATATTATTGCAAATATAATGATTGTGCGGCAAGGCAAAAAAGAATGCTGGCTATAGTGCATAGACAAATAAAAAATAAAACAAATTTAAAGTTTGCACTAAATCGTCTAAGCTACAGCTAAAAAATATTGTCATCGACAGTTTGTGGTTGATTGTGAAAAAGTGGAATTGTATCTGGAATGTAATACTCAGGCACAAGCTGAACCTGTAATAAAAATAGCTCAAACAAAAACTTGCCTTTATGCACTTAATAAATACTAAATATATCAAAAGAGTTGCGGCTTCTTTATAAGCTTTGAATGCAGTATAACAATTTATTTACAAAGTGTTTACATTTATGTTTAGTGTATGTTAAGATGAATATCAAATAAAACTACAGACGAGCCTTTGTTATAACTCTTGGAAACTATAACATTGCCAAAATATTTGATAGTTTATTCCAAGACTGAGCCTTAAAGGTTTTAGTCAGGAATTTCGACTTATTATCTATCAGCCATGAACCTTACACACACCTTAAGAAACAAATGATTCTTACCCTGAACCAAAACCTATTTTATTCATAAGGAAATTGAATTGATCCATTGAAGATTATAAAAGTTTGATATCCTCCAGCCGAATTAGGGCGAGGCACTGGTTGCAGCCGTAAGCCGAATCATCGAATCATGACTTAAGCCCAATCTGCTTATTACCTGTACTCACTAAGCTTTTAATAACTTTTTCGTTCAACACACACATACACACACTAGTACATGCCAGCAAAAGCTTTGAAAGCGCATTTAAGCACAATCCCTCAACTAGCTGGCAATATATCATAATGGTTTTAACAGTATCTAATCTGTATTATACTCCAGCTCTTGGGTTTTGGCTTACAGCATTTTTTGCCTCTTTGAGATTTTTTTTGTGCATTTGTAAGTTTTGAAAAAAGTTGCATTTTCGCAAGTGGAATTCTGGACTAAAAGTAGTTGCAAAATTGTATATGACTGCATAAGAGTCTATTTTTGCATGCTACTCCTGTCGTACCGCCCCCACTTCCCGCTCCCTACCCCCGTCCACTTTCTCTTGCTCTCTTTGTGTGCGTTGATAATTTCTGCTTAATGCGACTCAAGTTTGCACTTCAGTCTTTGAGCAAATATGGCAGACAGACAGCAGTTGACAAGCACCTTTGCCTGAGAGACAGAAGTTTGCCAGCCAAGCTCGTTGAGCACTAGAGCAAATGGATGATAGATGGGTTTTTCATGCTGTTCGAGAGTCTGGCGAGCGGAGAGACTGAGAGAGGGACAGTGGGGAGGGGGCGAGATACTTTTGGGCGGGGGGGGGCGGGGGGGGGGTGTGGTATGAGATGCAAATTTGCATAGCTTAGTTGCTCAATCGCGGCGACAATTGAGCGGCTCATTGATTGAGTGATTGCAGCTGCGCATAAATGCAGCACCCTTAAACATCAACTATCAGGCCGCGCAGCCCCCGAAACTGTCGGTACCTCAACCTGAAGAGCAGCTCTCTGCAAAGTTTTTGTTGACACTGTGTGCCATCTTTTCAGTTTTCTTTTTCATTTACTTTTCGAGCTCAAATCAAATTGGATTCGCATTCAAATTGAGCAAAGCGTTTTATTTAACGCCCTACCCAGGCCCTCCTACCCTCCCCTAAAATTTACTGGCATAGGCTTGGCAGCTTCTTGGCATTTGTATGCCCTGTACAGAGCGAAGGACTGAGCGAAGGGTATCTATGTGTCAAATTGTATCAATGTAAGCGACAAAAGAGATCTCACTGGCACTTCTGAAATTTCTGAAAGCTGAAAGACGTCTCAATATGGTTTGCCTTCCCAGTGAAAAAATATTATTTCAAAGTTGTTTTGCTGTTATCTTCAATGGTAGCTTCAATGTTCCTCATGAGGAAAGCCATTTTGGTCAGTGTTGATTATTTTTCTCATGTTTAACAAGATTTTGAAGAATTCAGGTATTACATCTTGAGTAAGTTAGTTGAGTAAATTATAAACTTAATAAAGTTTATAGAGATTTGCACAGTTTTTCGATGGTCGAGCATGCTCGACTAAGGCACTTACATTTTCTATACTGCGTGCATTCTTTTGCGCTTTTCTGGCGGAAATTGGCCGCACTACGAAATGGAGCGCAAGGCGTTCAACGATAATCGAAAATGGCGCTGTCAGTGTTGACTACGCGGCGTATGCGTAATGTAAAGCATAGCTCACACGATGTGCAAAAGATATTGCCTAAATGTGCGCACAAATTAACCGCCTGTTTGCGGTTAATTGAGATGGCATTAATTATAATTATGTACATACACGCACACGCGCCCACACACACAAGCAGTACAAATAGGCTGTCAGAAATTGAAATCGTTTTGTTGGGCGGCTGTGGAAACACATGTAAGCGCTAATAACACTTAAATAGGCATCCGGATCACTCGCACAACCCCTTAAACAAAGGACAGCACTGAATTGGATTGGGGCAGGTGGCTGGGTGGCACAGCAGAAGGCATTGCAACAGACACAAGCACACACACACGCACACACACACACGTTTCAATTTAGAAATTAAGTGGCTCACTTGCGATTTGTTTGTGTTTGCGTTTGCGTTTGTGTTGGGTATTTGCGTTGTGCGTTCTGCGTTTTGCGTTTTGCATTTATGTTGAAAATCGGCCGACTATGTCGACGTCGCTGCCAACGTTGCCGTCGCTGTCGCCACATAAACTTCCGTTGCTTTCGGCTCGTATTTGACTTATTATACACTATGCAGTTTTCGGTGCGATTAACTATGTTAATCAACTGGCTCACTAGCTGGAAATTCGTCTCAAAAGTCGTGGAACATTTGCTAGTTGAACAGAGGAGAAACGACAAGCAATATTCAAGGTCCAAACCGGCCTCAAATGTCAAGTTGGTATATATTTTGATCGTATATTAACATTTCATATTATTATAGTTGTAATGTAGTGCATTATTATATAGCTTGGCCAGCGCATGGGACTGTGCTCTAAAGTTAAGGCTTATTTTTGTTTAGATAATGATTAAATTCACTATTTTATTTCATCTAGGCCATATACTAATTATTTTTCTATATATCATACAAGCCTAGCTCTGTCACAATATCATTTTCAGCGGGGCAAAACCACAAAATCACATTTCGAGTAAACTACACGCCTCTACGATCGGTTCATGCTCAATATTATCAAATGTGCATTGAATATTAACTGTTCACAGTGCAAATAACTGATAGAGTATTCATGTTTGGTAAATGAAAATGTTGTTGTGCGTGGTTTTGTTGTTGCTTGGCATTGCTATTATCGTGCATGCGAAACCACAACTAATGTGCACTTCAAACTGTCTGTCAATTGGTAGCCCGCACACAAACATTTACACACATGCATGGGGACACTAAATCAAATACACAGACACACACTCTAACACACACACACGCACACACACAAACGAGCTGACAGTATTTTTATTCATCCTGTCTAAAACTGATTATGCATATGAGTTAAACTATGCGAAAGGCTTACCGAGGGTTGAGCTTTAAAGTGCGGAATTGAAATAAAATTTGAAATGACTGCATTAATCTTGTGTCTTATGCATACTGGAAATGCATGTCTAGATATAATCCCAGTATTCCCGATTTCCATTTCGTATTCAAATAATCCTTTATTGTCTCTAATTTTCTTTTATTATTATTTATTTCCTTTCCTGTGTATGTGTATATACGTACGTGCTTGGCAGTATCTTATATTTATGCTCATAACAATCTTTTTATTTATCCTCATATCAATCAGTTTATTGATACACTTTTGTGTATCTAACCATTAGGCAATATACACATGATTGCTCAGAGTTCTGATTTGATGTAAATGAATTCGGCTACAGGCAAGACTATCGGAGGTTTTGATATATCAATTTATACTTAGATAATATGTATTTATATACATATATATGTATATAAATATAATTAGATGTATTTCTAATTAATAATCTAGCTCTATCCCCTCCTCAGCCATTCTCTCCCTCTGTTTCTATGCACTATTCACTGTGCATATACATATATAAGGATTTATCTTATTATGAAAATACACACATCACGCATACGCCCCTATACCTATGGCGCTTCTGGCAGCGTTGCCTCATTGCATGCAGTTTAAATTTCATATAGTTTTATGAGCTGCTTGGCTTGTGTGTGTGTGTGTGTGCTTTTTTATGTGTATGCATTGAAAAGCACATAACTCTTGGCCAAATAAACAAACCGAAGTTATTAAACAGGATATTCGAATCAACAGGAACAGCAGCTATGACTGCAACCCCAATAGCAATGGCCACAACAACAACAACAACAACAGCAGCAACAAGACAAATAACAACAACAACAACAACAACAACTGAGACTGTGACAACAATGAGCAACGAATGGCACAACAAATGGCAAAGACAGCAGTACAATTTCCTTATGCAAAGCAGCGATAACAGCAGCCGAATGCAAATACACAGATTTATGGCCAGACTGAAGCCGTTTCCCCCGAACCCAGCTCCAGCCCCAACCCAAGCCCAAACTTAACACCAAACAGATATACCCCGCCCCTACCCTATACCTATGCGAAGGCCCGGCTGCCATAGTCCTGTGCTGCTGTGTTGTAAAAATAAAAGCTGTCAATGCACTCGGAATTTATCACCTTGCAAATTAACACTTAAAAGCAAAAAAAAAAAAAAACAAACAAAAAGAGAAAATGTATACATTATGGAAGAGTGGGTTAAGTGCTGTCCATAGCCTTATGAATCGGTTTTGGCACACGGGGCGTGGGACGGCAGCACTTACCTTTTCGGCCTCCAGCTCGCCAGGTATCTGGGTGCCATCCTTGGAGCAGAAGCAGTAGGGCAGCTGGCATTCGTCCGTATTGCAGCGCTGAGCGGTGTCGGCGGGTGCATCCGTTGCCGGCGCAGGTGCTGCAAGGACGCAAATGTAAAAAATGGTAAAAGCTGATTACAAAACGGGCTTATAAACTAAGTTGAGCAATTGAGGCTAAAGTCAGGCCTGTTGCACAAATTAGTTCAGAAATTATTTAAAATCTATGTGCGAGCACAATTCTATGCCTGGCAATCGATGGACCACGCCCAGCTCCCGGCTGCTGGCTGCCAGCTGCCTGCTACCTGGCAAGACAATCACCGAGAGCAGCATGTCCAAAGTTAAAAGTCAACAAAATAACACAATGCAATACAAATATCAATAAGGCAGCAGGCTGCTAGCAGAAACAAGAAACAAGTCAAAAGAAAGTTAACATGAAGAGAATAAAAGAGAGAGAGAGCGAGAGAGAGAGAGAGAGAAGTTCAAATAGCCAAAGGCCAAATCCTAGCTACCCCAATCCCAACCACACCCACGCCCCCGGTACATCTCACACAAAACAAAACCCAAGCCCAAGCCCGAACCCACACAAAAAAAGAAAGAAAGAAATGTTGGGTGCAGCTTTTGGCACAGTCATTTGCATATGTGAGCGTTGGGCGTGACAGCAGTGTGTGTGCATGTGTGTGTGTGTGTGTGTGCGCGTGGTTCGAACTCTATGGAATTCAATTGGCATTTCTTTTTTTCTTTGCTGTTGTTGTTGTTGTTTGTGATCGAGTAAACAAATTCGCTTAAAGTCCAGAAAACAAAGGTTGGCTATGCAGATGTGTTTATAAAACAAAGCCAGGTATGAAGCCAACAGGTAAAACCGGCATTAGTCATGCACTGGGTCATGCGGGCCACGCCTCAAGGGCAGAATCTTTGTTGCCAGGGGGCTAGCAGCAAATTTTAAATGCATTTTCTGCGCCCCGCTGCGTTCAATCAATGGATATGTTTGATTCACACACCATGCACAACCACCCGCCCCACCACCTGTCACCCCACATCCTTACGGCCATCAGCCACCAGCCAGCAGGCAGCGCCAGCCAGCAGAAATTTTGTTGTGCGCCAGTCGAGGCCACAACTAAATTAACGCCAGTCATCGAAACGTCCTCGTGGCTAACCCACGCTGCATATCCAGCCCACCCAACACTTGAGCCATTGATTCGATTAACCTGGAAGATAGATCGCTGCAATAAGCGTAGGCGGGCTGCCGGGCGGCTGTGGCATAGTTCATATAATGAAAAGTCAAGAGTTGAGGCACGGCATCGGTAAAGGTTTTATTTGAAAAGAAGGTCAGCAAAGCCCATGCTAAATTGTCGCTGGCTGGAATCAACTTGCAACCCTTAGGTTCCGTTCATGAACCTGCTTTTGCAGTTTCAAACCTTGGTTTGTCATAATATAATATATATTACAATTTGTACCAAACTTAATTTCGAATATTTTCACCTCTTTCCATCTTTTCACCTCTTGGCAGCTACCTAATATGCAAATAAATCCAATTGTTGGAGCCTGGGCCATTTGTGCTCTGGTGTTGAATATTCTGCCATTTTTAAATTAAAATTTTCCGGTTCGGGTTTTTATAGTTTGTGCTTTAGTTTAGGCTTCGGCTCATGGCAAAAAGTTAATTGGAATTCCGAGCTCGAGCCGGTTCGTTTTGAAAATTAATCGAATCTTACGATAGTATCCGATTTTGATTCTGATTTAAAATCTGCATATAACTTGAATGTTTCGCAATCAATTTGGTATATTAAAAATAATTATTTATGTGTTGGGAATTTGGGCGATTGAGGACTTAGCTGCACGTTGGCGTTGTCATTTAAGTTGGTCGTTAAAGCCCGTTTCCGTTGAGCTTGCCGCGCACGCTAGGTCTATTGACAGCATCATCAATCAATTTAAAGTGGACTTATGCCGCTTGACAGTGCCAAATGCGAAACAAACTAATGATGTCAAAAAGTTTCTTGCTGCTCAACCTTTTTGGCCAAATTGTTGCGCAGCAGCAGCTTAAAATGAATTTAATCCTCTGTTTGTGTTTGTGTGCGCTCTGAAGAGTTTCTGTTAGCCAATTTAGATTCAGCGACGAGCATTCGTTAAGTATTCAAGCTTCAGTTGCTGAGCGAACGCGAGTAGCAAACTACCTTGACTATCCTTTGCTGCATAACAGTTCATTCTACAACTGACCAAAATAGCAAGAACAACAAATTGCTGAATATCCAATCAGAGCAATGGACAACGAGCTGCAGCACACATGTTTTTGATTTGGCTTAGTTTCTTTTTTTAATGGCTTATGCAAAGCACGGGATAACAGCATAAACAACAACAGCAACAAAAACAACTGAAAAACAACAACAACCATTGATATAACTATTGCAAAGCAAAATAAACAACAACAGCAACAACTTTGCCAGCAACAAGCAATGCAACAATATGATAAACACTGTAATACTAGCATATGCCATAAATATGAATGAGTTTAATTTAGGGCTTCAAATATTGATGTGTGCGTGTCCGTATGTGTGCTGCATATGTTTAATTTTAGTGCAGACGCACAGCTGGAGGATCCGTTTCCGGCTGCGCCTTGATGTATGCAATGTGCTTTTTGAGCACAAATTGTCGCCTCGGCTGTGGCTGCTGCTGCTGCTGCCACGCCCACAACAGATCCAATCAGAACAGCCACAAAGTGGAAAATCCATGGAAAACTAATATAAATGCATAGCTATCAATGCTGGCAAAAAATATATGTATTTGTGGCCATATCATAAATAACAGCATTGCCAAATGAAATGCTTAGCAATTAATTGGCCAGGATATGGCCCAGCCAGTCAGCCACAGTGCGACAATGGGACTGAACAGACAACTGGGCAGTCAATTGCACACTGTGCAATCAACATAAATTCACACACGCACACACATATACGGCTAGACAGGCTGTGCCCATCACCTCTCCAAAAAATAAAAGCATACAATTTTATTATTTCAGAAAGTTACTTGGCAAATTTGCGCACTCGAGCAAGTGAATTTGCATGTGTGCGTGCGTGTGTGTGTGTGTGTATGTGTGTGTGCACAGTTATTGAATAAAATGTAATAAACACTTTTAGTAACTTTGTCTTATGTGTGCATTTCGCACTGCCAGCAACAGTCTCTACAGCGGCAAAGCAAAGCAAAGCAAAGCAGATCCGAGCGGAGCTGAGCTGAGCACACGCTGCATACGCTGCGTATACGTAATGCGGGACAGTTTGGGGCATATTTGTGTAGCTGCTTGGTTGTCGTTGTCGTTGTCGTTGTAGTTGTCGTTGTTGCTGCTGTTGTGTAAGCAATATTGAAATGCAGTCATTGAGCGTGCTCACTGAATTATGAAATTGAAAACTATTCAGTGCAAAATTGCTTCGAATTTTACCAGTTCGTGTGAGTTTTCTACATGCAAGACTTTTGTGTATAAATAAATGTGTGTATATATATATATGTATATATATATAAATATTCTCTGTGTGCTGCATGTCTTTTTTTTTTATTTTGTGCGAGCAGCAGTCTGTCAGTTGCTTGGACGCGCTCTGTCAATAGTTTCGGGCCAAGTTGGCGGCTAAACAAGCCAGTCAGAGAGTCAAGCAGTCAACTCTAGTCAAACACTTTTTGGCCAGAAATTGCTTTGGCTAAAATGGAATTTGGTACGCAAATTTTATTGAATTTTCGCCCAGAAAAGTGGCTTAGCTATTTTAATTTCTGTCTGGCAATAACAAAACAGTGTATTAAATCCAAATAAAATGAAATAAAATCGCATTTATATGCACATTGTATTGCATACATTGTGTAGTACTTCAGCCCCAGCATGGCTCCATCTATGCACACACAAACACACGGACACGCATGCACACACATGCGTGTAATGAAAAGCAGCCACTTTTTGCTTATTTATTTGGGACATTTGCTGTCACAATTTCAAATTCATTTTGGGTCTTGAATGCGTCGTAAGCAATTCGTCAGCTGAGACTTTTGGCAAGGCGGACGAGCGGGCTGTGCGGTGTGGTCTGTGGGATAGGCTGTGGGTGCGTGCTTTAGGTTTTCGAGGGGGGGGGAGGGTGGTTGGCTTTAGGGTTATGGAGCTGCTGCAGCTCAGCACTGAGCGCATAATCCCTGGCATGGCTTATATAACTGCCAGTTGGTTGGCAAATTAAAGTGCTGGACGATTAGAGGCAATCAGTGAGTTCTTCTATAAGACTGGCTTCAAATACTCGCGTTCCGCTGCTGATTTGCACCACAATTACCAAAAGTAATCTATATATTTTTTACTTTAGAGCTGGCTTATCATAGGGCTATATACTGTGATCTCTTTGCTGTTTATAGACCAGAATCGGATCATTATTTTATACAGCAGCTATAGCAACATTCTATCATACGATTTCGGCTTGAAAAAATGTAATGTTTTTATAAATATCATATACTGTTTTATGCTCCCAGGACTTGAGCAAAATGTTATCAACATCGCAGCATAGAAATGATCTATGGAAATTGTATTTTATATTGCTGAGAACAGGAAAATATTATGTGTCTGCAAGGGTATTTGGCATTCGGCATTAAAAGCAGCTAAACCAGTTCAGAAATTAATACTTTTGTGTTCCCCTTTAAACGCTTGTTTTTATTTTATTTTTTTTAATTTCAACTCCGATTTTCTCAATTGAAAGTTCTGTTAATGTCAAACGAACTAATCTCTTTAGTTTATTAATTACTTTATTACTTTGATCGGGAGTGTCCAGCTAGGAGATACCCTGCGATTCACTCTGTTAATAGCACAGCTCTAGCTTTAATATAAGATTTATTCAATTTTGGGTGTAGTTAGTCAAAATATAAAATCTTCTTGATTCTTTCACATTAAACGAAAAACTAAATGCCGAATTTTGTGCTTCCAGCTCTTAGACCTGGTTGGGATATCGATCGAAGATCTGAGCTCTAGTTGGAAAAAGGAGATCGAATCGGCGGTTAATGTTGTTGATAAAGAATATGTTAGCTTTATACTCGGACAAGCCTGCTTCAGCTTATGCAGGGTATATAAAAAAGAAACTGTGAGTAGCCATTTATAATAGTTTAGTATAGTACAGTCTATAAAAAAACATAAAAAATCCAAACTACACACGTTATATTAGTATATGCCACGCTCTGTTGCGCTCTTTCTATAAGTATGAGTGCGTGTGCGTATGTGTGTGTGTGCGTGTGTGTGTGGCGTCAGCAAAAAGCGCACAGAGCTTTGACCTAATCTCTGCTGCAATATTTTTCCTCGTGCCTTTGGCTTAAGCATTGCGGCTTTTGGGGCAGGAGGTGACTCTGTGCACGCGCGCGTGTGTGCCTGTGCGTGTGTGTCATTTATGTTATTACTTTTCTACTCCAACATACACACACACACACACACACACACACTGTCGCTGACTCGCTGTCGCCGTCACAGTCAGAGCAAAGAGCTATTTATATGAGACAACATTCCAGTTGGTATTACGCAAATCCCAAATGCTTTAGCTGTCGTAGCTTTCTTCCAAGCGGTTTCCTTCCGACAACGACGGCTAACTGCGACGACGACGCCAACGTTGACTGCGACGTCGACGGTGACGGTGACGGCGACGGCGACGGCGACGGCGACGTTGACGGCAACTGCATGGCTGACTATTGCAAAAGTGCGTGCTTGCATTTGAACGATATGCCACAGTGTGTGTATGTGCGCATATGCGTGTGTGTGTGTGTGTGTGTGAGCTCATGCTGGTCGCACTCTGCGTGTGTGTGTGCATTAAATTCTTTTCTACTTTCGGCTGAATTTTGAATTTAATGTTATTTTTATTCTTACACTTCACAAAAACTAAACCAATTGCTTTTCAAAGACTATAATGCTTGACTAATAGATACTCTTTAATAAATACATTTTAAATGCTATTTGCAAAACAAGTAGACGTATATCAAAATGAGCGCATTTTTTTTTAATTATCTCAAATTCTTTTACTGCTTGAGACACAAAAAAAAAAAATCATAGAGTTTACATTAGGTGTAAAAGCAAAGCCTTTATGCTTTCTTCTTGGCACTGATTAAATCAAAATATAATAAGTTTAACATTTTTGTATTTAACTGAACTTAACTTTTGGCAGCTATCGTTAAAAAGCTTTAAAAAAGCTTTAAAAAGTTGCTTAAAGCGATTAAAAACTTTCTAACAACTTTAAAATAATTGAGAAAGTAATTCTATATATATTTTTTCATACAAGAATATCCAAATCTGTATACTACATATCGCTAAGGCACTTAATATTCGGTGTTCCTCTTGCTTGTTCGAAATTCTTAAATATTATTGAGTAAGTAAATTGAATTTTTACAGTGTATGCCAAAATGCACTTGCATTGTCTTTTGGGTATAGGCTAGGTGGACAAAAGGAAGATGGGTTCTTTCATTCACATTCACATCCTTGTGCGTGTATATATGTATATGTAAGTGTGTTTGTGTCGCAAAACTGTAAGCTAAAGCTGAATTGTAAGCTCCTCTGGATCACACACACACACGCACACACAGTGCTGTGGCACTTGGTTGCTCTTAAGCGGTCGCGTTTGTGCTCCATTTGAAGTGCCCTCGATGGCTGGAGACGCATCCCAGGCACTTGGCATTTATCATGCAAGCAGTAAGCCGGAGGGCCAGACAGTCTGTTGGCCAACTGCTGCGGCCACCTTTGCACTTGGCCAAGATATTGGTTCGTGCTCATCGTGCCTTGCAATGCATTGTCAACGAGTGGGCTTCGATCAGTTGGTAACAATTCGATTATTGTGCGCCGTTTTCTACTTTTGGGCCATAAATGAATTATGCGACATTTACTCAAAATTGCTTCCTAATGCACACTGCAACATACCCTTTCCTTTTCTCTCTATCTCTCTCTTTCTCTCTCTCTCTCTCTTTCCTCGGTCTCCCTCTTTTCATGTCTCTCCGTTCAATTCTCCTCGTAACTCTGTCACATTCAGTAGCTTAGTCCATTGGCTTCGTGTGTGGCTTGCGTCTTTCTAATAGAATGCCCGATTCTGTTTTGAGCTTCTAATAAATTTACCAGTTTTAGCCATGTCATTTTTTTGGCTGTTGTTGCTGCCTGCTTGGGCGGCTCAGTCCGGCTGGGCTGAGCTAGGACTTATGTGTCTGGCGGACAGTGAGTCGAAATTCGCCTTTTATTTTAGTTAACAACTTTGGTTGTGCAAACTTGAAATCGTTTAACAAACCGCTTGGCATTTGCCACAAAACCCAGCACCCAGGCCCGTGTTCGCCTTCTCTCACATTCGCACAGTTCACCGTCTCCTTCTTGCATGCATATGTGCTATTTATTGGAGTGCACTTAAACTTTTGGGTTGCTTGATTTATGGCGCACTTTCAATTGTTGCCTCAGCCAAAGCCATTCCCTTGGCTATTTGTAGACAACATCAAGGACTGGCAAACATTGCATTGACACTGTAAACTGTCTGTCTGGCCCTTCCCATCCCAATCCATCCCATTAGTTCGCTATCCTTATCCGTGTCTTTATATTAATAGTAGTCTGGGCAGCTTAGGAATAACTTCATCACTTACTTGTTGGCAACGGTCCGCACTTGGCTTCATCCTTAAATGTGCAGAACTTTTGCACATCGTCAAAGTAGAGGCCAGATGGACAGCGATTCAAATAGGGGTATCCATCGACGCACTGCAAGTCAAACCCCAACAACAAGAATATAGCTTTAAGTGCCAGCTTAAATAAGCGCTCTGACCCGTGGGTCAGACAAATTAACCAGGTTATCGTATTTAGTTTACCTGATAGAAGCGGCGACAGGTCGCAGGATCAGCATAGTTTCCATTGGCAATGTGTGAGGGGCATGTGAATTCGTCCTTCTCCTTGGTTTGAGCTGCAAGCATTAATTGAGTTTTTCAATTGTTATTCACTTAAAAAGTTCAATGTATTTGAGCATCTTTTAGGTGTATATGCTTTTAATTAAATTTATGAAACTTCTGATGCTCAAGATGCTCTTAAAAATGCTAATTCAATTATAAGTACAAGTATTGCATGGCAATACGAAAACTCAACGGGAAGCTGACTAAATAATCTAATTTGCAATATGCCTTTTTTTTATTTTTAATTATATATACCTTAATACATTAAAAGTTACAAATAATACAAATGCTTGTTAACTGTTGAGCTGAGCCTTAACTTGAATGTTTGAAGCGTAGGAATTTTATTTGAAAAGCTAAAAATTATTAAAAGATAGTTAATTGATTCATATTATTGCCCAAAGAACAGGATATCGATATCGATTTTTATCGATTGCTTGGAAACGGAGTAAGTTATCGATTATCGGAAACAAACTCGATCTGCGCGGGAACTAGGAGCACCTACATCTAAAATTTCAAGTCTCTAGCTCTTATAGGTTCTGAAATCTTTGCGTTCATACATACGGACAGACAGACAGACGGACGGACGGACAGACAGACAGAAAGACAGACGGACGGACGGACAGACAGACGGACATGGCTAGATCGACTCGGCTATTGGTGCTGATCAAGAATATATACTTTATGGGGTCGGAGAAGCTTACTTCTGCCTGTTACATACATTTGGATTTTGCACAAATACAATATACCCTTATACCCATTTTTAATGGGTTCAGGGTATAACAAGGTTTCTAATATTTTGTTAGCCTCCTCTGGTCACACTAGTTTTGATCAATTTTATTTTTATATTGTAACTTAATTATCAAAGTTTCTCTCAGGTCGCCTCTGGTCACACTTGTTTTGATGAAATTTATTTTTGTATCATTATTGAAATAGATCATCATGATATATAACATAATTCTTGCAATTCAATATAAATTACAAGATTGCGTGGAAGTTTTCCTCTTTCTATTATTATTCTTATTTCTTATTATATTATTATCAATTCGCGTGCATGCAAAAATAGTTTGATTTGCATAGTCTTAAGCTTTTTGTCATAAAATAAATGTAATATGCCTCGGATTGTTTCAAAAACGAAACATTTTTTTTTGTGATACCAGTCTAATGAACCATTTCCATAAGTCAGATAAAGAACTTTGTTTTTGCCAGGCTTTTGGATATTTTTGCTGGCTGTGGCAGGCTAATGAGGCGGTTGCATTATGCTCTTAATGCCGTTAAAGTGCGGGTTGCATTTAAATGAGAGCCTATTCATTTCAAATGACAGCGAAAGTAAAAACAACAACAACAATTTGCAACAATAATAATAAATGAAAATCGTTTATTTTATAATTATGTGCGCTGTATGTTTATGTTTGGCTTTTTGACTTTGTGTTTATTATACCCGATTATTTTTGCTACTTGTGTTTTTTCTTTTAGTATTTTCTGTGGGAAAAAAATTGAAATCTATGTTTCAAAAGCCGCTTGACGTTTTGACATTAAAAATGCCACAAAACAGGCAAAAATATAAATTGGGAAAAGGCATTTAAAATGAATAAATAGGCGGTGCATAAATTATAATTAAGGGGCGATATTCGTTTGATTAACTAAATACAGCTCGAACTGGGCGTGGCTGTGGGCCGATTTAAGCCGCATGTAATGAATATAAATTTGCTAACAGCATTAGATTAATGCAATGCGCCTAAACAACAACAATAAACCAATAACAGACTGAACTAGGCGTGACAGCAGGCGATGTGTGTGTTTGTGTGTTTGTGTCTCGCTCTCTCTCTCTCTTTCTCTCTCTCTCTCTCTGCAACCTGCCTTGGTGATTTTTCACAAAGCCTAGCTATTTGGACTTATATTAACTAAACGCACACTGTTATTAGGCAATGTTGCGTATACGCCGCGTGCGCTGATTATAATTTTAAACATTATAATCGTGGTTTTATTGCAAACTCTTCTTTTTATTTATTTATTTTTTTTTTTTTGTTTAAGCTTGATATTTGATTATTGGCATTTGCTGGCTAATATGTTGATGGCATTGCAATACCTAATACCGTGCGCCTCGAAGTATGCCACAAATGTTGCACGAAAAGCGATTGGTAATTTTGTGATCTTTGTGAACAAAATGAACCGATTTGATTTGGTTGACTTTTGCTGGTGTGTGCAATAGGCTTTGCTGCTTAAACATCAGCAGGCAGCAGACGAAATTTTTAATATACCTGTGGCAGGTACATATGTGGCATGTGGCATGTGGCAGGTGGCAGGTGGCATGTGGCACACGCGTTGAAAATTGAGCAGCGAATGCGGCACAAAAACTGTGCAAGTGTTTACACAAAATCCATTGACATGGGCGCATATCATGGACACTTTTTTGTTGTTTGTTTGTTTGTTTGTTTGTTTATTTCCTTTCACCCCCCTCTCACACGTTGCTCTGTTTATTATGAATTCATTCTGCACATATTTTATTAAATTTTTGCAGTTGTGTGCATGCCTATATTTGGCCCAAGCATAAAAAATACTTTCATAAAACAAACTGCAACAACCGCGGCGCCACACGAGTGCATTCGTATTGATTTTGTATGAATTTCTTTTTAAGTGCAAACAAAACATAATAAAAAACACAAAGGCAAAAATATATTATTAATAAATAAAGTAAATTAAACCAAAAAACGCGTTAAAGGGCATCTTAAATTTGCTATTTTAATTCGACAAAGAAACCAAACGCTGCAAATAACTCTGGGCGAATTGGTGTGTGTGTGTGTGCGTGTCTGCGATTATCACAAAGACAAAAACAAAAAAACAAAAATGTTTACAAAAACAAAAAAGACACAAAGCATTTCCAATGCGCCAATGGCAACCAAATTCATTTAATTTTATTTCTATGATTTAAATAAAAACCAAGTACGAACATTGCAGTTGAACCGACTGCACAATACTCTGTCCACAGGCGGACGCTCACATTACTGGCTCCCTCTTTAACTGAGGCTCTCAGTAGCTTAGCTTAGTATTGCCCGCCTCCTAGTGGGCGTGACCCAAACACCCAAAAGCACTTTGTGCCCCGCGAATATGCGCACAGACAGTAGGACATTGCATAATGCGAATATACCGACTTTTACTTTGTGAGCAGAGTATAAAAACCTGAACGAGAGAAGGAAACACATTTCCATACAATTATTATAGCTAATTAATATTTATTATCCAGTGCATGAGCGCCGTTGTAACCAGTTGCAAGGGGGCTCAGTTCTTTATTTCTGACAAACTGACATAAATAGTATGTAAAGCAAATATGTATTAAAAACAAATTCAACTCAAATTAAAAAACATAAAGCAACTGTATTTTAACGTCAAAGTCAACGGCAAGTTGTAAAAATATGTTTTTTATGTTTCATAGATAAAAATAACTCAGAGTATTGGCGAATCAAGAAAGGTTAGGAAATACATCAACTTTCTAAAGAGAACATCTTTTGAGCAACAAAGAGAAATGGAAGACATATTCGACTGCAGAAAAGTAAGGTTTAGTTGACGTTAAAAAAGAAAATTGATAAATCCGCTCTCGAACCTGCTGGTTCAAGGCTAGTTTACAGCCCTGATATTCTTTACCTGTACTAATATCCATGTCAGCCTAGCTGCATGTCCGTATCAATGATAACTTGTCCCACAGTCTTAAGGTTATCGGATTGGATCTATCCACAAGCTGGACTTATAACAGCAGGAATTGCATATTCAGAGTCGACCAGATCGGATCACATAATCGTATAGTTGTCACATCCTACCCAGATTCAGTATTTACGATCCCCATCGAGCTGCTAACACATGGTAAAATTCTGATTGATTTCAATCGACTATATAATAAAGCGTCCATAAGGACTATAGTTAAAGATAAAGTTTTAGAATTTTGCTGTTCAAGATATTTAATTTCAAATAATTAACCACTTTTCGCTGGCTGAACGAACCCTTGCAGCTGCCACTGTGCTTTTTCGATTGACCATGCAACATGCTGCAGCGGCTGCTGCTGCGGTGGCAAGAAAATTATTGCAAATTTATTTAAAAGGCATAAGGCCAATTACGTTGGACTTTTTACCTTTAATTAAGAAATTGCCAATGCGAAAAATAATAATTAAAAATAAGCCCAAAACGCGAAGCGTGCAAAGGATCTTTTCTCAATATGCCAACAACCTCCCTCTGCAACATTCTCTTGTTTGTTAAAGCAAAACCAAAAATACTCTAGACAAGCATCTCTGACTGGCAGATACTCTGTGCTTAGGTCGGAGTTCTCTCCTAATACAAAGTATTGCTGTCTGCAAAATACTAAAAATACCAAAAGAATACCAACGTATTTTCATAGAATACTGCCATATTGGATAAAAGAGCCCGATCGTGTATATGTATCGGACTGTTAATACAGTTAAACAACCCATTTTTTTTTTTTGCCAACAAACGCACCGCAAAAGCGCTAAAAATTGGCAAACTTTACTTTATGCATCCTGTGATAATGGTATTCCGCTTTTTCTTGTGCCGCATAAAGCATACATGTGGCTGTGTGTGTGTATATATTTTATTTTATTTTTGTAAAGTTTATTTTATATTTATGTATTGTTGTTGCTGTTGTTGTTGTTGTTGTAGTGCGGCGCCTGTTGATGTTGATATTGGAGTTGTTGCTGTTTCGCGATTGTTTTATTCACATTTTTCGCCGATGCACATAATTTATTTAACATTTGTGGCAATTTAAAGCGAGCTGAGCCAAACCCAACTGATTCGCATCGAGGACGAGTGGCACGGGTCGTGGTACGGTGACGGGGACGGGGAGTGGGGGTGGCGCACTGTGGGAATGCGCCATGCAAATGAGATTTAATTTGGCGGTATATTGCGCTCCAGCGTTGCCACGAATAATTTCTATAAATTAACAACAATAATAACTACACCAACAGGTCGAAAAGTGGTATTAAATTTCGGTGCCGTGCATGTGTAGAAAATTGGCACAATATTCCGATTCAAATTGAAAAATATATTTTCGCGCAGTACAACATTTTTAACCATAATGCATTTGTAAATATATTGTGAATATTTAATTGCAAATTGTTTGCCAAAGAAATTGCATTTTTCTTGTTCTTGATGCATTTGTGTTGGCTTCTTTTGGCCGCCTGAGTGCATCGGTGGCAGGGTAATAAATGTTTCGTTGGGTTGAGTTAATTGTTTTCTTTATGCTGTTTTTGTTTCGCCTTTGGTTTTAATTTATCGCTAGCCGCAAAAATAAAAACGGCAAAAATCACGGCAAATTTCACCGTTTTCAGTATATGTGTGCGAATATGAAAACCGAAACGAACGAGAAGGCAATAAATTGCACAACTTATATATGAATATGAATGAGAGCTGCGCGCGATTCAGTCGCCAGTCGCCAGTGGCCAGTCGCAATTAGCTGCTGCGAGGTGCGTTTAATAAGTCAGTCAGCCTTTTCTTCTTCTTATACAAATACATATATCGCTTCATTTTAAATACGCGCATTACACATCCTACTCTGTTTGAGCCAACCTAGCTGCTCGCTATCTCTCTTCCCCTGTGGCCTTGCCGGGCCCGGTATATGTGTCACTTTCTCGCTCTCTCTTTCACTCTCCCCCTCTGTCTCTCTCTCCGCTTGTTGGTCGCGTCTTTCGGCCTGTGGGGCATGCCAACTGTTTGTATTTTGTAAAACGGTTTCTGCTTTTTATCCGTTGGCATTTTCAAGTAATTTTTCACGCATTTCTGTGGCTGCTTTGCGCCTCATTTTTCACGACGCGCATGTGTATGCTTGCGCGTGTGTGTGTGTGTGTGTGTGCGTGTGTGTGTTAAGCTGCTTAAATGATTTTGCCACTTCTTTTTGCAGCATTGTTTTTTGTTGTCATCGTTTTTCTTTTTCCTTTGTTGCATTTACAACACTCAAATTGTAAATAATTCCGATTTGGTTGCCCAGACTCCAGCTGTGAGCTCGGGCAGAAACCTCAGTTCTCCGCTCTATCCTCCGCTCAGTCCCCCGCTCAGTCTTTCTCAACTTCCTCCACGAGTGTGTAATGGCCAAAGCCACTTGCCTTTGTCAACAAATTTGCGTTTAAATGGCTCATGTGCCGCAAGCCGTCTGTCTGTCTGTCCCACCGCCCATCCCTCCGCCCGTCCGTCTGTTCTTGCGTCAGTCCATCCGTTTGTCAGCCGGTTTGACAGTCGGTTCGCCGGCTCATCTCGGCCTGTCTTGTTTGTTGACGCAGCCTTTGCAATTCGTTTTAATGTATTTTTAAATTATGTTTATTTTTGGTTATCGCACGCACTAGGGCACAAGTGCGAGCGAGAAGGCGACAGAGAGAGGGAGAGAGAGAGAGAGAGAGCACAACAAATTTACACACTAGTGTTAAGTTCTCGGAGCTACTTTGAAACATACTAATATTATGCTTGGCATAAAGCTTCATTAAAGGGATTCAGCCGGCTGCCTTCAGTAAAAAAAAAGTTAATAGGATTAAAGCTCTTAACCATTTCCGCCTGCCTTTTGGCGTTTTGTATATCAAACGATTATAAGATTTAGATTCAGCTTTTGCACAAAAACAAAATAAATTCTCACAGTTTGCCGTGCTCTTGTTACTGAATTCTGAGTTAGAAACTGATATGATTTGCTGAATATTACATGCACATATTGTAATCCCATATAGCTGACCAGGAGCAATTTTGAGTATTATATGATAAGCATATTGTGAGACTAAATTCATGAATGCTACAAGCTTTTAGCAGCACGAAGAGGACTTCTGACCTTTTTATACCCTGAACCCATTAAAAATGGGTATAAAGGTATATTGTATTTATGCAAAATCCAAATGTATGTAACAGGCAGAAGGAAGCATCTCCGACCCCATAACGTATATATATTCTTGATCAGCACCAATAGCCGAGTCGATCTAGCCATGTCCGTCTGTCTGTCCGTCCGTCCGTCCGTCCGTATGTATGAACGCAAGAATCTCAGAACCTATAAGAGCTAAAGACTTGAAATTTTAGATGTAGATGCTCCTAGTTCCCGCGCAGATCGAGTATGTTTCCGATAATCGATAACTTACTGTGTTTTCAAGCAATCGATAAAAATCTATATCGATATCCTGTTTTTTGGGCATTTTTGGTAAATAATAAGAGCTAGAGTCACCAAACTTGACATATAGCTTCTAAAAAAGAATATATATATGCATTTGATGTTGGAAGAAGAGGGTTCAGGGTATCCCCTAGGCGGGAGCTCCCGACTAGAACCTCTTACGTGTTCATAATAGACTTAGTAGGTCAAAGGACGCGTGGGTCTTGCCGGACTTTTAAGTTCTCAGACTTTGAAATGCTTTAGTTGCATTAATAAGTTTTCTATTCAAATTGTTTTCAGTTTTGTTTCCTTAAATTCTGATATGTTCTGTACTCTTTATTAAATTTACAGTCTTGTCTTTGGGTCTAGAAGTTTTCTGTCACACTAGAGAGCTGCCTCGACGAGGTGGCAGTTGCCGCCAACTGTTTTGATTACATCTGAATGCGGCTCGTACGTTGCATGAAAGTTGTTGGAATGTTTGTTTCTTTTATTTTTATATTTTATTGATTTCATTATGCAACGGCTGAATGCACGAAGTCTGAGTTTCGGATTCAAAAGATACAGTGCTTCGATATAAAATCAATGTCACAATCGTCTTGTTGGCCAGTTGCATAAATGTGGCTGTTAACTGTTATGTATTGGGCACCCCGTTGTAGCCGCCCATGGTCCATTAATCGATCCGTCCATTTGCCATTGTCTGATTTCGGTGTAAGTCGCCATTTACATTCAAAAGTACATAATTAATGCAATATGCCGTTTCCGGAACGGGTTTGCTATCGAATGTAATCAAATGAAAGTGAAATCGCCCAAAGAAAATTTAACAAATTTTTTGTTGTTGATATACAAAATGTGTTATGCATCTGTGTGTGCGCGTGTGTGTGCATAGAAGAAAGGTGATATGGCTAATCCGCAGCTCATCAAACGGCTCGAGGCGATTATGGCAGGGCAGGTGGTGTGCAGAGTGGAGCAGCTGCTGCTAAGGTGGATGACGGGCATGATATGGAAAACAGCTGAAGTTGACCATGAAAATGCTCAAAGCCAAACTGCCCAAAGTCATTGCAGATATACACTAATATTTGCATATTCATAAGCACAGTTTCATCCATATAAACTCACACACAGAAAGAGAGAGAGAGAGAGAGAGAGAGAGAGAGAGAGAGCCAGCAGTCGATGCTGTTAATGTGTGCCTTTGGCAAAATGTTAATTAAGCCAACTGGAAACCCAGTTGAAGTCAAGCGAGTGAGCAAAAGCAGCCGCTAATCAAGTTGGAGGTCAACATTGGAGCACGCATATTACGTAAGGATCGTCGGCAGCAGCATGGCACACTGCAAGCAGAGAGAAAGAGGGAAAGAGAGAGAGCAAGAGAGCGAGAAAGAGAGAGAAAGAGATAATAGAGAGAGAGAGAGAGAGCGGGATTACAAGAGCGTGCTAAAGAGCAGCAATGTATCGCTGTATAAGGCAGACGCCAAGAAAAGTGAAACCGGCTAAATTTCAAGTTTTGTTTTTTCCTCTTTTATTATACATATCTATATAACATATATATATATATATAATATATCTCGTTTTTTGTGGCTGTAAATCGGTTACGCATTGCTGCCGGAGCCCAAGCATGCAGGACAGTTGACCTTGCGGGCCTTACAGGTGCGACAAAGTCCGAAACCAGTTGGAAAAACCATTTATGATAAGAGCAAAAGTCAATGAAATGCCAGCAATGTTACCTAATTCGACGTCGAGCCAAAATCAAACAAGAAATACGAGTACAGCAGCTCGAAATGCGCCAGGAAGACAAAGACAAAGGCAGAGACAAAGACGAACACGAAGACGAAGACACTCGCACAGATACACACACTCACACACGCACGCACGCACACACACAGAGGAAGCCCAACTAACTTCCAATTGGCAACGTCAACACTTTTTCTGTTGCACACTAACAAAAAACAAAAAACAAAAAAAAAATATTGAAAAAAAAAAGCACATAAAATAAACTATTAACATTTATAGCAAACACGAATGCGGAAACGTTATTATTATTTGATTTACTTTGCTTTTTGTCGTTGTTGCGTGCAACATTTGCTGCTACACCTTGCAGCAGCAGCAGCAGCAGCTGCAGCAGCAGCCGCCCTTTTTGAGCAGCAGTTTACTTACCATGAACGCCAACGGCGATTAGCAGCGTTGCAATCAGACAATGCTGCAGCATCTTGAAGTTTCCACACCGAATTTACCGATACACTGTTGCCAACAAAACGTTGGCTTAAAGAAAGAGAGACAGAAGGCGAGAGACGTCCGCAACGCGCAAATGCAAACCGCCAACTGAACGCAGACAGCGCCAAAGAAATTGCAAGAAGCCAAGCTAAGTTCAAGTCTCGCACAACGGCTCTCGAGCGTCGATCGGTGAGCGAAGAGCGGAGAGCGGCGAGTGGAGCTGAGCTGGGAGCTTAACATATTCTCAATTCACTTTCATTTCAACTGGTTCGACGATGACGCGAATCAACAACAACAGCAGTCGAGGTGGCCGCTAGAGTCGACTCAGCCGGTTTGAGCCGGGGCGCATGCGCGCGCATTTCAATGAGGCGGAGGGCAGAGCCCTTGTCGTGTCCGTCTGTTCCGATCGGACCAAGTTATCTCGTGATTGTTTTTGAGTGTCTCCACTCGTTAAATGGTTTTTCTTTGTTGTCGGTAATTAACTTGATCGCAGTTGGAGTTCTGGCCCAATATCATTATTGGTATTCCTGGGGTGTGTCTTGGATCAGCACGACCCATGTACTACTTACTAGTGTCCAGAGTCTTAGACACCGCCCGCATAGCAATCACATGTTAATTGCATATTACAGTTAAGACTAGAGAGTTCTACATAAGTGTACTTTGGCTTAGAAGTCAGTCAGTGCATACACAATGAGGCCCGAAATGCGACTTTGTCTACAGAATTTATGCAACTGGTTGCGTCAATTTTATAGGTTTTTCGGCATTTTGTCGAAGCTTCCAGCTGTTGTTGCAACAATATTCGAATGCATTCAAGTGAAGGCTTGACTTATTGATCTGGCACGATTTGTTTAGAGACTCGTCTAATAGTTCCGAATAGCTTTTGACAGTCTCGTTATAATTATATAGTTATATAGTTATTGAATATACTGATATATATTTATATATATGTAATTTTGGCACCCAAAGTGTTAAATATTCATCGAGGCGCTACCTTTAAGAACTCGATTTTCCCGGTAGCATTAAAACAGAAAGTGTTCTTGATTGATAAATAGCTTCCAGAAACCTGATATATATGATGTATGTAGTTTCTCAAAATGAGGAAGAGATATCGATCCATATCGCAAGCGAGTCTTCAATAATCTGAAGTCTCCAAATCTTATGGTCTCTGAGACGGGCTGACAGACAGTGCTATACCAACATGCTGCAACATGAAGCCCGTTTACCTATTTTTAATGGGTATAAAAAGGAATACGATAAGGGTATTCAGGCTTTGTATTTTTTAATCGGGCATATATTGAGCGCTTATTTTAAAGTCAGCTACATAAGCCCAAAGTTTCTTTATGTTTCTTAATTTCATTCAGCTGATGATGTCATCCAGCTTGGATAGTCAGTATCTAACTAGTCATGGAACTGGTCAATGAAGGCAGAAATACAAATTTTGATAAAGCTAAAACGCTTTCAATTTTCTTGGAAGTGTCAAGAACTTGAATTCAATTCGGGAGTTGTTTTTGTATATTACTAATTTACTTTACTTTTATGTGGCGATTCGTTATATTTAATTTGGCATTAATGGATTGTATCTTGTTTTAGCTTCGTTTCGCGTTTTGTATACTTTATAGTTATTTGTGCTGAGCGCTCAGTTAATTCCGAATTTTAAATTCCAAATTTATAAACTCAGTTCGGAAACTCGATGCGAATGGGAATGAAGTCTGCACGCGGTAACTAATTCTCTATATACAAATAGCTGCGGGCTCATATCATTTATTATACTTGTATAAGTTGCTATTTTATTTTTATTTTTATTTTTGTTGTTTGTGTTTTTGTTTTTATTTATTTGGCCTCCCTCTCCACCAATATAACATACCCTGTTTTTTTCTCTGTCTGTCTGTGTGTGTGCGTGAGTTTGTGTTTGTTTTTTTTTGTTTATTAGTTTTTTATTTATTTTTTATGCCAAAATTTGAAATTGAACAGCATTGAACGATTCAGTTTGTGTGTTATTGTTTTAATATTTATTTTTAAGCCCGTGCGATGGTCAATGAGCCGAAAACGTATAAGTTAAAACAACGCGAATATCAAATTCAAACAGAGATTCACGGATTTACAGATGCACGGAATAATTGGATAAATAAATAGCTAAACGCAGACAGCAAATGTGATGCGTGTATTGTGAAAGAGGCTTAACGCGACAAGTGGAAATGGCGCAGAAATTTTTTTTTCACTTTTATTTTGGCGAGCACAAGTGAGTACTTGTTGCTCACAAATATACTCGTTAAGCATTTAAATGCTTTGGATCAACCAGCTCTAAGTTCATAAAATCGCTGTACTTGAACGATTCATTCTTCATTATTGACGTATATTTATATAAGTGTTCATATAACCCACATATACTCGTTATGCTAAATGAAAGTTAGACTCTTGACAACTGTGTGGAAAATGAAAATCTCCATGGACTGTATGCATAGTTGACTATTTTCTGTCTTCTTCTTTTTTTGGTTTTGTCTACTATACATTATTTTTTTTTTTGGTTTTATGAATATTCATTTATTTATTTGACTGTAGACAGCTAGCACGCATGCATATGCCCGTCACAAAATTTTTGGGCATTTAAACCAATAAATATGTAAATTTTTCATAAATTTAATTAAATTCACCACAAAAGCTGCGTCTTTATCATCCACAGCAGCAGCAGCAACCGCAGCGGCTGCAAGGGAAAGTTTTTCCCTCCAAAAAAGAGAAAAAAATGCAAAAAAGTGTAAAAAGAAAACTGACGACAAAAAAATAAAAAAAAAAGAAAACAACGAAGATGGTGAAAAATAGTGTGCGAGCGGCTGCTGGCAACTGGAAGCTGAGAACTTTACGGCATGGCATAAAAGATCTATGAGATTCGTAGAAAATGAAAAAAAAAAATGGGAGTGGGAGTAAAAAACAACAAAAACTAAATAAAAGTTGAGAATTGTATGCAAATATCTATCGCACGCATTGGCCAGATCCCGAGCCAGGTGCCAGATGCTTGACTGACTTACTGACTCACTGACTGACTGACTGGCTGGCTGGCTGACTGACTGATTGGCTCACTGACTGACTGACTGACTGAATAAGTGAGTGGGTGGGCGTGTGCATGGTTGGCTGGCTGTACGCATGGTTAACTCAAACTTATGCAAGTTTCGGCGCTGGCTTCGCCTGAAGATACGCAGCCGATGATAAATGAAAATTGTCAGAGAATTTAACGATTTGACTGACAAAGGCATTTCATAGTTTTGTTTATGCTAAGGTAACAACAACAATAGCACAATGAGCACAATATGGCATATCACAGGGCGCCACGGGGCGGCGTTTGTAGTGGATGAGCGCACTTAAACAAAATGAAATGAAATGACAAAGGCGAGGAAAATGCAAGTGAGCGGACATGGAAATTAAAAGCAGCTGAAAGGACAACGCATGGCTGAGCCCTTAACATAGCAGACGAGGGCGACGACGAGCAGCAGCACAAGGCCAGGAGCGTGGAGCTCAAAACTGGCAACTGACAACCAGGCGCACGACAATCCCGACACCAACATGGACATGGGGCATGGCCACGTGATTCTTTGAGGCTATGCGACAGCTCCATGGGGCGATTGCTTATGGAAAATGGCTCCTGCTGTTGATGTCATAGTTAGCCCTCGCGACGGCCTCGCCATTTTCAATTAACACTTGTTTAATTTTCCAGCGATTTTGGCCTTTTGTCTGATCCCACAGGCCGCACATCAGATTAATAATCCAGCGACAGCAAAGAAATATGAACACGACTTACAACCAAACTATTAATGGATTTTAAACCAGAACAGATCTGTTGGCGAGCAGCAGAAGCGTACATCGCCTGCAAAACTATAGGCTGGGAATACTTTCTTTTGGACGGACAGCGAAAATCTGATAATATTCGCTTTAGAGGAGTGCCCGTCTGATATAGGGGGAATGGTTGTGGCCCTATTTATAAAAGCGTGGGAAAAAGGAAGTGTTATATACATAGATTTTACACCTGAAATTTAAAAAATTAGCTCAATAATGAGTATTAGAAGTAGAAGAACTCGAAGAGATGAGTACTCCAAAAATAGGAGTACACAGAGGGAAAAACGGCGAACTTAAGCGAATCGAGCTTTTGAACACAATTAAAATCTTATTAAATTTCAAACAAGTTCAAAATGGTATTGATTTAAGTATGCAAGTTCTTGAATTTAGTAAATAAATCGTACAAATGATGTTTTACTCAGTTAACAATTTTAATAATTAAACAACATTCAAACTTTATTTAAGCTTTACATAACTTGAAAAATCGTGTGTTGAATAAATACGGTTATTTCATCAAGTTCAAGGTAATTCTTAAGCTACGATTTTTTTGCCTTATTAGGCTTAGAAACATGTGGGCAAAAAGCTTAATTCAACTTTTCAGGTATTTAAAAACATTGATTGATATAAAAAGTTGCCTGCTTAAATACTTATAAAATTATGCTGACTTGATTAAAGTTTTTTCGTACTTTAAAATTATACCTAAAGTAAAAAGTTGTATGCTAAAATCAAGAAGGCTTGTGCTTCTGTGTGACGTGCTTACTTGATTCAAGATTTTCCTTACTTAACAATTTATACTTGAAATAAGTTTATTCTTCCTGCAATTTTAAGATCGGGCTTACTATATTCAAGCTTTTAGTTACCTAAAAATTATACTTGAACAAAAAAATTGCTTCTTTTATTGCTTGATCGGTCTTACTTTATTCAAGTAAGAATTATACTTAATATAAGAAAATCAACAAAGATTCTGTCTGTACTTTAAAGATCGGATCAAGTCTTTTCGTACTTGAAAAGTATACTTAAAATAAGATTGTTGTTTCTATATTTTCATGATCGGCTGACTTAATTTAAGCTTGAAATTCTTGATGTTTTCCCCCAGGGAAGGCTATGTACCGGACCAGCTTTAATATTGAAATACCTGTTAAAAATGACTTTAAACGTCAAATATTACTA